AAGCTACTACCATTTTAGGAATTAAAATTAAAAGACATACCAAGGGTTTTGTACTTAATCAAAATCATTATATTGAGAAACTAGTTAATAAGTTTAAGTATCTTAATATAAAAGAAGCCAATACTCTATATGATATATAAGTATAAAGTTAACAAAAAATCAAGGTCATGTAATTGCACAACTTGAATATGCTAGTGCTATTGGAAGTATTATGTACGCCATACATTGTACTAGGCCAAATATAGCTTTTGCTATTTGCAAGTTATCAAGTTATACTAGTAAGCTTAGTATAAGTCATTAGAGAGCTATAGGAAGAATTCTCGGTTATTTTAAAAGAACTAAAGATTTTGGCTTATTTTATTCAGAATATCTAGCAATTTTGGAAAGATATTCGGATGCAAGTTGGATCGCTAGTATAGGTGATAATAAATCCACTTTAAATTGGATGTTTACTCTTAGAAATGATGTAATAATTTGGGCATCCAAGAACAAACTTGTATTTTACATTCAACTATGAAATTTGAATTTATAACTTTAGCTGCAATAGGTAAGCAAGCAAAATGGCTAAGAAATTTATTACTCGATATAAAGTTGTAGCCACAACCAATGACAGCCACTTTCTTGTACTATGATAGTGAAGCTACTATGTTTAGAGCTTATAGTGAAATATATAATGGAAAATCTAAACACATTAATCTAAGATATGCCTATATTAAAAAATTAATAAAAAAAGGCTAATTACCAAAATATATGTTAAGTCTGGTAACAACTTAGCAAATCATCTTACCAAGGCACTACTTAGAAATTTCGTAAGAAGCACCACAAGTGGAATGAGTTTAAAATTCCTTTTAAAAACCAATGATGGAAACCTAACTTTGAATTAGTAATTTCTAATTACAAAGTTTAATATGTAATAAGTTATTGTTATGTGTCTATAACCATTACGTAAATGGAGGTTGAGATTAAACTTTTAATGTAGTTTATAATTAAATGTCTATAGCAATGGGGACTTAAATAAGAAATTTCACCAATACAAACATTGAAGTAGTGCTGCTTTAATAAGAAAATTAGAAATTTTCTTGTAAATGTTTATGACTAAGGATAAGCGCATGCTCATAATAGTGCTAACGCGATTATAAACCTTTAACAAAAGATTAAGTAAATATTATGTGTGTTATATATTCAATTTTAACACCAGAAGTTTAGGCTTAATCTACAGACACAACTAACTTCGTTAGAATTCCAAGTTATATATGTTAATTGAAGGTTTAAATCGAAAGACACTTTATTATATTTATAATATTAAATGTACGAAAGATTAAAGATTAAGCACCAAAATTTCAAATTAGTAAGGGATTTTGATAGTTTAAAATGTAGTATATCCCACATTGAATAGAAAGATTATTTGTTTGTAGTTTAAAAAAGACTATTTGTGTTATTTAAATAATTAAGCTAAGTGTTGAGTGAGTCAAGTCATTTAGGCTTACTAAAAATTTTTTAATAGATTAAATAATTTTAAAAGTCAAAGATTGGACCTTTGAAAACTCGAGGCACTTAGGCTTGTTTAGTAAATAAATTATTTTTTAATCTTTTACTTATCAAATTTTTGAAATAAAATAAATTAATATTATTTTTATTCTGAATAAACTTGTTTGGATAGACAAATGTGACTATAAAAACTATCATAATTTTTTGAATAGAAATTTGCAACTATTCATTTATTATAAATAATTTTTTTACATGACCAATTTCACTAATTCTGATTTAGAGAATTTTAAAATTTAATTGTATCCTATAAACATAATTACCTTTAAAATAATATTTTTCATACCTCAAAACCATATTTCTTCTTTCTTATTATTTCTATTTTTTCAAAATTTTCTAACATTAATGACTTCCCGACTCTTGTTTTACAAATTATAATAATTCTATATTCTTATAGTAAATTTATATCAATTCTTAAACGTACATTTTCAACATGGACTCCTCCCTCTATCTCTATGTCAACAGTAAGCTATAAGGCTTCAATAATCTTGGCAAAAAAAAAAACTATGGCATTAATAATCAATCAAGTTATTTTTTTTATTTAAAAATAATTAATTGTGTAAGCTGTATGTCAAAATACATTGACTAGCGAACCTAAGATTTAATTCAACAGTCAACTATAAGGCTTCAATAATTTTGGCAAAAATAACCATGGCATCAATAATCAATCAAGTTTTTTTTTTTAATTTAAAAATAATTAATAATGTAAGCTATATGTCAAAAGATATTGACTACCAAACTTAAAATTTAATTGATAATCAATCAAGTTTTTTTTTAATTTAAAAATAATTAATAATGTAAGCTATATGTCAAAAGATATTGACTACCAAACTTAAATTTTAATTCAATTAATTTATACAATTTATTTCCATATTTTAATCTACAACCTTTTTTGTATAAAAAAAATGTGAATTAATGTCTCTAAATTTGTGCTATCGCAGCTTATAATAATTTATGCTGCCTCCGTTTCATTTTTATTTAAAATGACCTGATTTCTTTTATCCAAAATTATCCGATCCAAAATACATCAATTCAAATTTAACTCAATCCATCTATTTGTCACTTTTTAATTCTCATCAATAATTAGTAATATTAATGAAATAATAATAATTAAATAAAATAATTACTGCACATAACATTTTTATCGAGTTGAGCTTTGACGGGAAATATAATATTTAAATTTTGTAAAATAAAAAAGATTTTGAAAAATTTTTAAAAAATGAGGTAGTTAAATTTAAAAAAAAAAAAAAAAAACCTTAACCAACTTTGCTTGCTAAAATTCATTGATTTATTATAATTCATAGTATAAAAACAATGTATTTTAATTTGATTGGATAAAAAGATATTCGTGAACTCACGTATGAGCTAATAAAATATATAAAACCCAATTTTAGTTATATAGTAAGTATAATATTAGGTTTTAAGTTTAAATTTTAATGCGTGAGTTTAGTTATTAAATTATGTTTTAGTTTGTTAATTGATTATTTAATTATTTAATTTGATTATTATGATGTAATAATTAATTATTCATTTGATTATATGAATGTAATATTTAATTATGATTGTATTTTAAAAAATAAATTAATATATAATAAAAAATAACTTTATTATTTTATATCATCACTTAAAATTATAATTATATTTTTGTGCAAACAAAGAAGACTACTGATCAAATATAAAATCTTTATCCAGAACACAGCATATTTATCCCTTGAACTAAATTCAAGCGGTTTTAATTTTTCATTTAATATTTAAGTTATTTTATTTGTTACTCTATTTTGGAGTTAAATTCTTAATTTTAGCACAGTATAGTTATCCAATTACAGAATTACTTCTCTAACATTAACATTTTTTTCTTTTTATATTATACTTATCTCCTTCAATTCTATAATTATATTTTATATATTTATTCACTTTTTTTTTTGTTACATGTAAACCGGTTTTAGCATTTCAATGCAGTTGCCTCATCATCAACCCCATATCTTGTTTTGAGATGAGCAGTTACAGGTTAAAGATGTCGGATGACTGGGAGAAAATGACATCGATTATGAGCGTCAAAACTCCATCTAAGAAAGGATGGGAACCTGAAAGATCCATTCAACACATGATTTCTCATGTGCAGGATGGAGCTGGATGGGTCACTTCATGATGCTGTTGGGATGTTAACCTGAAAATGCCTCTTAAAACTACATTAGCTGTTCTTTTGTGAGTTTTAAACTTAATTTTGTACTTTCTTTTACCGGTAGCTTTTCAATAGGTTTGATTTTTAATGATGATTATTAAATTTTAAAATTCATGTATTTGTATTTATTTATTTTATTATATTTAAAATATATAAAATACAAAATTATCAAATCATTATTCAGATCGACACATTAAATATAAAACATATTTGTTTTTTAGCTTTTAATAAACACATTCGATATTTTACTAAAATTTTAAATTATATTATTAGATTGAAAGGTCACATTCTTTACCTTATTATTATCCTTTTCAAACTCATTTACATGACTGTTGTTGATACATAAAAATGCAGTTTTTGTGCTTTCAAAATTCATATCCTGAATTATATTAGAAATACCAAAGGAGAAAAAGATAGGCCCCAACTTTCTTCAAGCTATTTTCTTTATGTGAATCTATAGAGAAAGGAGGCATTGACTCTTTTTTTTTTCTTAGCACAATGAGTTTTTTATTCAAAATGGTAACAAAGGGATGAACAGTTAGAAAGGCATGTGCTCTTCTTTGTCATTCCCTTAAACAAACATAAAACACAAACATATTTGGATTTAAGAATACAATATATTCAATATTCTCAAATTTATTAAATCATAAATAAGGAAAAAGCCTTTAGTTTTATTTTCTAGTTTGGACTATAGATTTCAAAACATAATTACAAAAAAAAAAAAAAAAAGAGGAAAAAACAGCAATATGGGAAAGCTGAATGAAATCCTTGCCAACTAATAAGTATCATTGAAATTTCATGAAAAATAAAAAGAAATATTTTATTCTTTATATTTTAATAGAAGGTAACCATATAGTAACACAAAGTATCATAACAATTAGAACAGTAGAGTAGCAGAGCTTTACCAGTAGCAAAACAACATTTCCTCCTAATAAAAAAGGAAAGTGATAGAAATAAATTGAATTGTAGTATTTTTCATACATCAGATGGTTATACTCAAATCTTTTGTGCAACAAGAAATGTGTAACTAAGCATATCTGTAGCATGGTTCAATTTGTAAATTTTCAATCAACTCACAAGGGATGTGGCTCCATTCAAGTATCCTCCCTAGTATTCTTCATATGCCGTGTAACCTGTAGCAGTTGCTCATAGGAGTATAAAACGGTGTTTGTAACAATGCATAATCAGAACCTTCCAAGCCTTCCGGGGACTTCCTACCATACTGGCACCTTGAAAAAATGCATCATGGCAACCATCATCCGAAACCATTTGATTGTCTATTAAGCAAAGCAGAGCAACATAGAAACAGATTAAACTTCATCACGACTTCAAGCAAAATTATCAAAATGATACCTTGGGAAACCAGGCCCAAAACTCTTTAAGAAGGAAATCATTCAGATTTACTTTGGAGAGTATAAATATTTCCAATTATACCTGCAATGCTAACTATTACAGCTAATATTAACATTAACCATGACAAAAATTTTTTAACTCTGCTCAAGCTCAAACCCACTTCTTGTTGACTTATCCTCAATGCAATAAGAGCTGGGAATGTAAAACCTAATGAAACAGCTGTTGTTGCTCCTGTAAATTTGAAAGCTGTCCATATATTTGGGATCATAGTAGATCCAAAATAAATAAGCACTAGCAATATTACTGTTAATGCCAAAGACCTTTTCCGACTCTCTGTGAGAGGAGCTGATCCCTCAAACACCAAGGTATCCACAGTTTGCCGCAGGGAAAAATGGATAACAGGGAAAACAAGAACCAAATGAAGAATGTAGCCAACCCGAACAATATAATTCAAGGCAGTGCTAAAACGAATCCCAAGATCCTTATCAAAATTGGTCAAAACATCGGCTTCAGTATCCTTCCCAAAGAGCAGATACCCTGATACAGCTGTTGAGGCATAGACCAAAACACAAAGAACAGTCGTGATCCTTCCAACCCTGTTCATCTTTCGAGGAGATGGCCCTTCAAGCTCATTATATATAGGTTGAACATTAAAATGACAAACATATGCATTCGACATAATTGGGATAACCACTAGTAAATCCAAAATTGCCATTTTCGACCCAAAGTCTGGGCTCATCCTTGGAGCCTCAATCTTCCCTTCAATAAGCTTAATAAATGCAACAGCAAAGCAAACCACAACAAAGACAACAGCAAGAACAACTGAAGCAGCTGAAGTCATGCTCAACGAATCAATTCTATCCAATGCGCAAAGTGGAAAAAGAAAAACCACCATAACAACCAAAATTAACAACTTCCTATGATCCCAAAAACCATGTCCCAACCATTGATCGAAAACCCCAAGATGACGAACCGAACCTGACATAACATCACCCATAATAATCAAATACACTACCAAAACACCTGCATTGTTGACAATTATACAAATCTCAGACAAAACCCTAGCAGTTCTCCCCATTGCAACCTGCACAACTTCCCCATATGATCTAGCTTTACACGAAACCGCAAACCTAACCCACATTTCGACACTAATTTCGGACAAAATTCCCATCAAGATTATCAAAACAACCCCTAAAACAATCCCAAGAACTTTCATAGTAGCAGGTAAAGCCATAATTCCAGCACCAATAATTGAGGTAGTTAAGTTAAAAACAGCACCAGAAATACCAGACCCTTTATTGGGTTTACTTAAAGCAAGGGTATAATCATCAACCTCACTACCAAGATCACCATCAGCATCATCAGCATCATTAAGATCATCAAGATCATGAACAACCTTGGGATCATTTAACCAGTTTCCATCATCAGAAAGGAGCAACCTTTGTTGGGATCTAAAATCCTGGGGTTCATTTTGTATTTGCAATTCTACATATGAGCCTTTAGGTATCGCCGAATAATTACTATCCATTCTAAACAAACAAATTACCGAAAAGGTTGAAAATTTTTGAAGATGAAGGATATAAAGGATTAAAACTTACAAAATGGGGGGCATCAAATTGAACAGATAGGAAAGCGTCAAGAGAAAAGCAGCAGATCGGAGGTGGGTCACCGTTTTGGTCCGCTTCTGGTTTTTCGCAGCTTTCAAGGGAGATAAAGAGAGAGAGCAATTTGTTTGGAAAGAAAGAAAAATAAAAGGATGTTGGGCATTAATAAAAGGATGTTGGGCATTGTCATTGGAGGATATATTTAGACAGATTTTTGGATTTCTAGTTTTGGATACCGCTACGTCAGATCATTAAAAGAATTAATGACGTGGCAAGATCTAAACGCTGCTGGTAGCTTGCGATTCTACCACGACGAGGCTGGTTGACCTTTCAAAAGGCCTATCCAAGGTCCAATCCGTACTAGTTTAAAGGTTATTTCTTTTTAAATATAAATTAAAATAATAATGTTTTAATGAGATAAAATCATGTATAATCTTTGAATTTTAATGAAATTTTAATATTATTTTAATTTTAAAAATTTTTAATATGATATTTAAATAAAAATTAATGATTAATATAATATTTAAAAATTTATTTATTTATTATGTATTATTATTTAAAATTAATTTATTTATTAAAATATCAATGACCAAAGTGTCAAAAAGTTTGATCACGTATAATCAAACTCAAACATTATTTATGAGATGAAGAGTAAAATCAACAACCAATGTGAAGGTAAATCAACTTGTGGAGGGAATATAAGTTGTGAGTCATTTATAAATTAGGAAGGAATATTATGTTAAATAGCAGTAATAAATTTTTTATTTTTATAAACAAAATAGATTATTATGTATTTATTTAATAACATTATTAATTAATTTAGTTATAACTGATAAATATGTTATTCTCTTTGTCTTTTTTTTTTTTTTTGAGATGTCTCAAATTATGTCTTTTTTTTAAACATATAAAACTTTTATTTTTATATTTTAAAATTATATTTAATTTTTTTTACTTTTTAACATTAAAAATTATGAAATTTTAATTTTATAAAAAAAATTTAATTTCAATATTAAATACATTAAAGTCAAAACAACCCAAATATTTTGAGATGGAAGGAGTATAATTTTTTCAAATTTCTTATAAAATTTAAAATTCTCACTAGTAATTTTCACTATTATTGTATATTTTTCTCAATGTTTTTTACTATTAACATTATTATTTTTTATTATAATTATTTTTATCTCATTAAATTTTAATATTCAAATATTTTTCAAAAAATATTTATAAAAAATGAAATTAGAAGTTTCTATTTAAAATTGATATAATTTAAAACATTTTTCCTAAATTTTTCAAATTTTCAATTTTTTTTTTTATCGAAACACACTTAAAAACGTTTTCCAACGTAACGTGAACCTCTAGCCTCAAGGCCCAAATCATTGAACCAAATCAACTTCGATTCATTTAGGCCTAACCCATCTATAAGAGCCCAGAAACTTAGATAAAATTTCCGAAGGCCGAAGAATTCGCCTCACCCAGTGTGCTACTTCAGCTACTCTAGCATTCCCAATGATATATTTGTATTTGATATATTTTCCACGAATTACATGATAATATTATATAAAAATTAATTTTAAGTATATTTTTAAGATTAAGTATTTTTTTTAAGGATTTTAAAATTATTTTTATGAAATGTAATTATGCAATTTACTAACAATATATAACTTTTCTATATTAATAATGTATCAAATATACACTCCAAAATTATTCCTAAATTTATGTCATTTACTAACAATGTATAACTTTTATACATTAATAGTATATTAAATATAAATTCAAAAATTATTACCAACATTATGGTTCATGGTTTTGTTTTTAGAAGAAAAATAAGTAATGATAGACTGTTTTTTTAATTACAATTATAATCAAATATTATATACATATAATCAACTGAATACTCAATTATTATATCGTAATCAAATTACAATTACTAAATAATCAACTAACAAATTAAAATATAATTAAATAATCAAACTCACACATAATGAAAAAAAATGCTCTTAAATTTCGTGTAAAAGAGAAAAAGGAGGTTGGAAAAACAATTTAAATGTTGGATTTTATCCCATTTTATAGAGAAATAAAATACTAACTACAATATCCTTGTTTTCATAAGATTTTTATTTAATTTTTGATATAAAAGAAACTATAATTTAAAAATAAAAGAAGAAGTTGCAAGTGTTGAAATTTGATTATTATATAATTTACCTATTTAATTTTCATGTGAATTAACATTTTGGTAGCTCTATATAACTTATTCAATTTCTAACCTAACATATTAGAACAAATTATATGGTACCTTTTACATTTTTGAAAAAAAAAGTGAGATATTTCTTTAAAAAATTAAAAAGTTATATTTATTTACTTTTAGGAATAACAAAGAATATTATAATCTCAATTTTAAAATGACTATATTTTTATTTGATTTTATACTATTTACATTATAGTATTTCTTTTGTATTAAATTGAATATTCACATTTGATTTGATAAGGAAATTAAGAAAAATACTTTTACCTCAATTTTTTATATTATTTTCTTTTAAAATTTTATAACTTTGATTAATTATCCATTTTAATTCGAAAATGTTTAAAAAATATATAGGTAAAAGTCACAATATGAAACATAAAAAGATAAAAGTTATAATTGTTAAAAAAATTAGAATAATTTTGAGATAATCAAAAAAATATATCTTCAATTTGGAACCTAGAAGTATAATTTTTTTTTTTACCAACCTATACTTTATAATAAAGAAATTTTAAAAAACAAAATGCAAACACAAAGCCACAAACAACAATTAAAATGAAAAAAAAAAAAACTTACAATAGGTTAGTTCAATTAGTAAAAAGAAGCTCTATTCTTTTTCAACTAAGATTTTATCATTGTATAGAGAGTTTTGGAAATAAAATTTAAAATACGAGAATGTGTTCTTAAAATTATCTAAAAAAAATCTATATAAAACTTTAAAACCATCGTAATTATTTTATAAAAAAATAAATGAGACAAGAGTTTAAGTTAGTTACTCTTTGGGTTAATATCATAAATAGTCCACAAATTATAGTGAAATATTCATTTGTAGTATCTAAACTTTAAAAATTAGTTAATAGATTCATAATTCAAATATTATATTAAAAATTTTTAAAATTCAGGTATTACATTAAATATTTTACTATAATTTAAAAATCATTCATGATATTAACCTTTTACACTTTTTTGATAAAGGAACTTTTATTTACACCCTTAAAATTACTTTCACATCTCATTACTACTTAAACCCAAAATTCAAATTTTAACAATTAAGTTTTACTCATTACATCCCTTAACCACATTTCTTATTTCCCCGCAACACCCTTCACACCTATTTCCCCAATTCTCTATCCATTTTCAATTCAATATGACCCCTCAAATCCTAATCCCAAAATCACAAGTTTTAGAATTAATCAAGTTATTAGACTTCAATTTAGAGGTAAATTACCTTTGATTTTGTTAGATTTGGGTTGAATGTTAAATAAATTGAAATAAAAAATAAGATATTTTATGTGAAATCATGAATTTTCACAAGCGCAAATCTTGAAGTTTTAAGAAATGCAAATAAAGCTTTGAGAAACACAAATTCAAATGTTTTTAAAAATTTCTAAAAATGCAAATCTAAAAACTTGAAAAGTTTTTGAAAATGTAAATCTAAAAACTTAAACAATGGGTTTGATTTAAAGGAATTGAGATTTTATTCAGCTTCTTTTCTTATTCTCTCTTCCATTCATTTGTTTGTTTAAAAAAAGATAGGATAATACATTTTCTAAGATCTTATCAATTCCAAGTTTAATCGAAATTGCAAATATCTCCCTCCCCCTAAGATTTGCTATTCTATGAAACTAGAAAAACAAAATTAACTAAAACCAATTTTACCCCTATCACAAAATAAACACTCTTAACAACGCTTCGACCAATAACTAATATTCCAACCACCAAATAACAACATCATCTAACAACATTAACATATAACAATAATACCATTAAATAACAACATCATCCAACAGAGAATAACATAGATGAAAAAAATGAAAAGTATATAAAGAGAGAATAACAGAAGTCGGCAATAGAAGAGCCAAGTAAGAGGACATTAATATTTCATTTTCAAGTAGAAAAAGCAAAGGAGTTTTTTTAGGGTGAAATCCGAGGACTTAAAAGCTAGATCTAGACATTTCTAGGTAATTTTCCAAAAAATCAAGTGGATAAAAGTGAAAAAGAGGTTAAAATAAACACGTGGGTGAAATTTAATTGTAGTCAACTCCTATAAGAAAAATAAATGAGAAAAGAGTTTAAGTTAGTTACTCTTTGGGTTAATATCATAAATAGTCCACAAATTATAGTGAAATGTTCATTTATGGTATCTAAACTTTAAAAATTAGTTAATAGATTCATAATTCAAATATTACATTGAAAATTTTTAAAATTTAGATATTACATTAAATATTTCACTATAATTTAAAATCATTCATGATATTAACCTTTACACTTTTCTAATAAAGGAACTTCTATTTACACCTTTAAATTTTTATAAAATAAGTACGAGGAGATTAATATTTCATTTTCAAATAGAAAAGAGCAAATGAGTTTTTTTAAGGTGAAATCCGAGGACTTAAAAGCTAGATCTAAACATTTCTAGGTAATTTTCTAAAAAATCAAGTGGATAAAAGTGAAAAAAGGTTAAAATAAACATATGGTTCCAACTGACCACCACTACAAGTTCTCACTCATCCAAAATCATCACCACTTGCCAATCTAAAAAACTTTTTTCCCCAATCCTCTTTAACTTAAGAACCCAATGAACCTAACAAAAATCCACATAAAAAAAAAACAAAAAAAAAAACCAAAATCACAAAAATCAAATAGAGAACTTTGGTTGAAAAGTTCTTTAGTGAGGCTTTGGGTTTTGATTTTGTTCTAGAGAAAGGAAAGATCAATGAAAACAAGATAAAGATGGAACCACCATTCTTTGCTTATAGCAT